ATGTACACATCAGTATTTGAAGTAGGTACAGGACATACAGTATCTGAAAAGAAAGCAAAAACCTAATAACTGATACAAAATTCTTAGTGAGCAAGGGTACAAATTTTAACAGTTGAATTTCTTGTAATTATCCTTAGGTGTTTCATTACTGCATATGGTCAGCCTATAGAATATTTGTTAAATACCTTCAAAATATTTATGAAAGCTTGGTTTAGTCTAAATGTGATATTACTGATATAAACACTGAACGTTCAAATTGTTAGAAAAAGAATCTTAGTCCATATAATAAAGTAATAATCACATACACATACTAGTTAAAGAGTCAGGTATTAGGTCTCTCTAATTACTGCATATGGACATACAGAATGCTGCAGACTGGAAGTAGGATTATGGGGAAGTGGTTAGCTAGAAATGATAATTATATGCATGAATGCCATAATGAATGGACCTGCAATCTAACATTGAAACAATAGCACAAGCAGCATTTTTTTTTTTGCTAAAATCATTGAAAAATCAGAAAATGGCTACACAACACTCTCATATCTGAAGTAGGAATATTAAGTACAGATGGTGGATTATCACATGTTAACTTAAGAAATGCATTTAAATATTTTAAGACAGATGCATTTTTACATCAGTAACAGCACAACTAATTCCCTAATAGAACTACATTCAAGAAAATAGGGAATTGTCTAAAACTACTTCTAGCTCTGTTAGAATTCACTAGTTAAATATTACAGTCCTTACTCTTCTGTATAATTAAGCTTTTGTTCAACTATGAAAAAACTAGAAACTGACTGCTTGAAAATGAGCTGCATGACCTTTGTCCTGGTTTGTCACCTCTGACCTTTAATTTGAAGGTCAATTCATTCTGCATATCAATTAATTCTATTTTTAGAAGAATTTACATTTTTAGAATGTAAATTTTTAAGTGTTATCTTCCCATATGAAACACACTATGATGGTTTTGTCTTTTTTTCTTTGTCAGCCTCTACACATCACACCAGAGGAGCATATTTGCTTTTTATTGTGCAACTGTATTTGAAACATCCAGTGTGCAATTACAGAAAATGAATGCTTGTCTCTGAGATGAAAAAAAGCTTTTAATTCTTTTTCATGTAGTAGAGATGTTGCAGCACATTAAAGTAAATTTTGAAGAAAGGATCTGCTAGACAGCACACCTTTCTAAATTTGTCTTTTTTAGAGGAAAAAAGGAGAAAACCTTATGCCTGTGTTTGCCTTGCTTCTAATGGATACCTGTTTTTTCCTGAACCTTCTTTGTGCCATGAGTGGTTATTTCATTCCCACTGATGACATGCTCTTTTGATATTCACTTTCAGAACGTCCTTTTATAAACTGAACCTGTGGTTAAAAACAGCAAATATGAAGTTCTTGTCTAGTTGCTGGTTTCATTTCCATTTCACGTAAGTAACGTTAAGCTTCCCAAGTTGGCTACAAAACAATCTGCGTTGCTGGGAGAGTCGTGTTCCAAAGCAGAAAGCGCTGTAGTATTTGCCATTGATTTTGCTGTCAGCATCCGACACGGGCGCGATACAGTGCCTTACACACAGGCCGCGGGTGCGAGCGCTCCCGAGAGCGGCGCGGGCAGCGCCCCAGAGCCGCGGGGGGCAGCGCCCCAGAGCCGCGGGGGCAGCGGCCGAGAGCGGCGGGGGGCAGCGGCCCAGAGCCGCGGGGGCAGCGGCCCAGAGCCGCGGGGGGCAGCGCCCCAGAGCCGCGGGGGCAGCGCCCGAGAACCGCGGGGGCAGCGGCCCAGAGCCGCGGGGGGCAGCGCCCCAGAGCCGCGGGGACAGCGCCCGAGAACCGCGGGGGCAGCGCCCCAGAGCCGCGGGGGGCAGCGCCCCAGAGCCGCGGGGGGCAGCGGCCGAGAGCGGCGCGGGCAGCGGCCGAGAACCGCGGGGGCAGCTGGCCCCGGCAGTAACATGGCCGCGGGTTCAGCACCGCGGACAGCGCCGCGCCCACGGAGGAGGGGCCGCGCCCGCCGCCGGCCCTCGGCGCGGCCCGCGGGTCACCGCGCCGCCCGCCCCGCCGCGCTCCGCCGGCCGCGGGGGACGCGCGGCTCGCCGCCCAGGGAAAGCGGCTCCTTTGGAAGCCGCCTCCCGGCCCAGCGCCCTGCTCGCAGCGACGCGCGGTGCCTCCCTCGCCTCCCCGCCCGAGGGTCGCGCCGGGGCTTCGGCTGCCGCTCAAACAAAACGCCGCCACGGGGTTGCAAAGCACCAAAACAGGAGGAACAAATGGCTTAACCGCTTAGGCTTCAAAATTCACTTCTGCGCTCGGCGATGCCATATGAAACACTGCGTGTGACCGTACCACTGCATCCTGCAAATGGCCTACACTGCAGCTGTTCAGGCCTAGGAGGGAGAGCATGTGGGGTTTCCTTCTTCATTTATGCATCATTGTCATCCCTCTCATGAAATTCTCAGTACACGCCAGCTAATAAATTTTCAGATTAATTAAAATTTAAAAAAAAAGTTTTGATAAAAGTGAGACAGCAGCACATGTCCTTTACAGAATGTATTTTAAAATGATTGGAGTAGAAGGCAATTACTTTTGATCTACACACACAGGCAGAGTTTTTAGTACAGCTGCATTTCTGTAACTACTACACAGGACGAACATCAGGTATAATCACTACCTTTGCCATTACATACATGATTCATTTGACTACAGCAAAGGAAAGTTGACTTCCTGGTGTATTAATAATTTAGGTCATAATTTAATTCAACATTGATTCATACTACTCTTATACTAAAGGGAAAAACAAATAATCATCCTTTGAAGAATTAAGCAGCATATATTACAAATAAATTTTCAAACAAGTTTGTTAGTATTATCTTCTCTGAAGCTTTTAAGAGTTTTTGTTTTTTTTCAGTACTGTGTTTTAGAAAATAAATGCCAAGCATACAAGTATCAATCAAAGAGTAAACATGCACCATTGCACTTCAGTACAATGTTATATCCAGGTATCACTAAAAGTATACACAACTACATTTAAATTAACTATGACCAAATTTAGCTGTAACTATTTTCTTAGTGTCTGATGACTTGTCCATGACAGGACACTTCTCCATACTTTCAACTTTTATTCAAGATGCGAAATTCCAAAACAGGTGGGGAAAAAACCACAGCCCTGTGAACGGCCTATTTCAAAAGAACAGCAAGACCAGTTCCATAAGGAAAAGGAGTCAAGTCTGTAAACAAATCGGTGTAGCATGCACTACTGTTTTGTCCCATCACTGCAAGATCATCGTGCATCACTTACTCACCATCACTAACAAGCTAATGACTGGTAAGAGAAAAACAAGTAAATGAATCAAATCTCTTTAGGTAATATGTTTATCAGATTAAAATGGGTAATTCCCTCACATTAAAGCTAAAAAATTTTAAAAAATTAAAATTAACTTGGACTTTTCAAATTTATTTAGATACGCCACGCCAATTGCATATTTTATTATAGCTTGGACAAAATGCGTGCATTGCTGCTGTTTACTTATTTTTAGATGAACGTTCTCCCTCGATAGCTGGTTATCTGACCCGCGGTATGGTGTACTACAACGACACAACAGCCGAGTGGAACTGCCGGCGCTCAGACGCGGTCGCTGCCCGCGGAGCCCAGAGGTACCACGGCCGTACCCTCACCGCGGAGGCAGCGGCCGCGCAACCGGACAGGGAGGAGCAAGGCGTGTTGGAGACATTTCGGCACTTTATTTGCTCTCTCCCGGAGCGCGTCCCGCACCGTCCGTGCCTGGCGGGCACCCCAGAGCCGCCCGCGGAGCCGGCAGGGACGCGTGCCACAGTGCCCTGGAGAGCCCGCCGCCCCTCGCCGGCAGGGACGCGTGTCACAGTGCCCTGGAGAGCCCGCCGCCCCTCGCCGGCAGGGACGCGTGTCACAGTGGCCTGGAGAGCCCGCCGCCCCTCGCCGGCAGGGACGCGTGTCACAGTGGCCTGGAGAGCCCGCCGCCCCTCGCCGGCAGGGACGCGTGTCACAGTGCCCTGGAGAGCCCGCCGCCCCTCGCCGGCAGGGACGCGCCGGGCCCCGGCGCCGTGCCCGCAGCCCCGCCGGGGGCGGGCAGCGCCCGGCCGCGACCCCGCGCCGCGGCGGGAGCTATCCAAGATGGCGGCCCCGCCGCCACTCGCGTTAAACCCCCCGCACCGCGCACACGGCGCCGCGCGTGACACGCGGCCGCAGCCCGCCCCGCCGGTGGTTACCGCAGGGCGGCCGAGCCCCGCACCCTTCGGGGAGCGCCGCCTCCGCCACATCCTTCGCTCCCCAGCCGCCTCGCTGCGGACGCGTCGCCCGGCGGGTCCCGTCCCGCCGCCAGTCCGCTCTCCTCCCCTGGCCTTCCCTTCCGCCGGGCCGCGGGCGCCCCACGCCGGTCCCTGCCCGTTCCTCCCGGCCGCGGCCGCTCGCCGGGCGGTCACCGCCATCCGGCGGCGGCTGTCGGCGGGGCGCGGGCCGCCCCCTGGCGTCGGGCTGTCGCACCGTCCCCGCGGCCGGTCCCTCGGCCCCGGCCGCTACCGGCTCTCGGCGGGGCGCTGCGCCCAGCGCCCCGCTCGGCGCGGCTTCGTCCCTTCACCCTTTCCTCTACCGCGGCTGCCGTCGTCGTTCGCGTTTGACGGGCGGCGCGGCCCGGCGCCCCCTCTCCCGTGCCCGCGGCTCGGGCGCGGACAGCCGGGGCCGGAGCGGGCGGGCTCGGGGGCAGCGGCGGCCGGCGGAGGAGGGGGCGCGGCGGCGGTGGCGAAGGGAGAAAGGTGCGAACCCGGAAGTACACCCGCCCCGCCGCCGCCCGCAGGGAGCACCCGCGCCCGCACACACAACAATGCGGCGCCGCTCCGCCTCCGCCCAGCGCAACTTTTCCGCCGGCACTGGAGGAAACCCGCCGGCCGTCCCCTCCCCGCGGCCGCCCACCAGCGCCCCGGCGGGTGCGGCGCCGGCAGGAGGGCGAGACCCGCGAAGGGAGAGGTGAAGGGAGCTCGCTTACCTCCCGCACGCCATGGTGGCCGGGCTGAGCGGGGCTGTGCCGGCGGCTGCCGCGGTGGCGAGGCGAGCGCGGGGGCTGGGGGCGCGCACCCACCGACGGGCGCCTCCGGCCGGGGGGCTTTGCCTTCCCGAGCCACTGGGAGGACGGAACGGAGGAGGAGGAGGAGAAAGCGAGCTGCGGCGCAGAGGGAACCGGTGCTCCCGGCGGGAAGGCGGCGGCAGCAGCAGCCAGCGAGGAGGGGCGGCGGCGGCGGGCGGACACGGCCCCGGCGCTGGCTCACGCCGCCGCAGCCGCCGCGCACCTGCCCCGCCGCCCTCCCCGCGGGCGGGCGGGCGGCACCGGCGGCTGCGCGCGGGGGCGCTCCAGGGCAGCGGGAGCCGGCGGGCGGGGCGGGGCCGGCCGCGCCCCCGGGAGTCCCCCGACGGCTCCGCCGGAGCCGACCCTCGCCCAGGGCGAGGGCCCCTGTCGCGGCATCCAGCCAACAACCTCCTCCCCCAGGCGCCTCCTTGGCTGCACATCGTGGAGGCCATTTGGCACTTGTGGTTGTGTCCGGCTCCGCCGCCCCGAGGACTGCACTTTCCAGCTGCGGTGTCTCTTGCGCTGCTGCTCACTCTCAAATCTGCCGCTGGCAAATGGGAGGGCATCGCTCCTGTGTGGACGATCTTGCGCGTCTTAACCAGATGCAGCCACGACCTGCAGGTGGAGGGTCTGCTGGTGTGCAGTCCACATTCTCAAAGCTGGCAGAATTCCCACCTTACAACTGGTTCGTCCAGAACTTGTCTGTTCCCAGTAGTCTTGCGGCACGATTGGTTTCCTTTACTGGCATATGAGACTTTAAAAATGCCAAAGTTTTATTTTTCTATCTTGTCCTGACTTACCCCAATGGTAATTTACATACTGTCATAAGCCAGCATCAACTTTACCCAAGGGTATATTGTTCGCTGTTCTAAAAATAGAACGGTTAACAAAGTTTGGCTACCTATGGACCAATGTTCCACATCCTTTTGCTAGCAATCCATGCTACACAGGCTCCAGTAGTCATCACTTTCCACATGCACTAGCAAAATGGATATGGTTCTCAGCAGTGTGGCTCCTCACATGTGCTGAGGATTAGCCAACTGGTGAGTCAAACAGCAGGCAACTGGTGAAGTCACACCGTCCTCCATCTGGAGAGGACACTGATTTGCTGTCTCATTTTCCTGACTGCTGGTTTTCGTCATGACACGTAGTATTTCTGGGTCCTTTACGTTGAATTGGGCTGAAACCCTGTGAAAAGGGTTCAAAATTAGCTTGAGAACAAAGAGATGGATAGCAAATGCAATTCCATTTCCTTAAGAGAACAAGATAAAACCATGGTCTGTAGTGAGCCCAGTTCGCATGTTTTTTCTATCATTAGGCATTAGGATACTTGCCTTGAATTTCCCATTCTTGGGCTTTCCTTTGTAGATTTATTTTTTGAGGGTACAGTAAGACTTTCAAGAATTTATTAGCATTTTTTGGTGTAAGCAAGCACAAAGTCAGTACTAAAATTCTTACCATACTTTGCTTTATAACTTCCTTTCAACAGAAAAAGCTTTCCACAGAATTTTTCTATGTGATCTTAGCCTGTGATTAAAGCAGCTGTGGAATGTCGCTATAGCTTTCAAACACTGTGCCTTACTTAGCTCAGACAGGTTTTGTGTGGAACAGAGATGCTTCCAAGGCTCAGGAGGGAGTCTCCCAGGGACCAAACGACCAAACTGTTTCACTTCAATTTATCTAGGCACAGCCATAGAAAGCTGCTTCATGTTTTACAGATGAGATTTTAAGTACCTGCATTTATCTAGATCCTAATATTTGACTCTGTTACCTAAAATTTGGTACATACTCTGTGTGTACCTATATAAATCTAGCCTAGCCCAGAACTGTATTACCTTAACACAACTTTAGTTGTATTTGGCTAATAGTTTGAGATTATGTGATCTTTTCTGAAAAACAAATAAGCAAAACCAAAGTATGGTCAGAAGTTGGTTTTTCACTTATTTTTTATTTATTTCTTATAGATGGGGAAGAGTTCCTTCCTGGTACCCGCTATTTCTGCTGAGGTATTTATTTTTGCAGAAAAAAAAGCTTCCCCATATGCTTTGTTTTTTGTTATAAATAACACCCTCAGAATATGATGTAACCTAATTTTGTAGCAAGCTTGTATAAAACAAATTATATACAGAACATAATCAGAATTGAACTCCTTCAATAAATCACAGCAAACAGGCTGTGAAAACACTGCACTTTTTTTCCCATTACTTTCTCTTTTTTTCAGCTTTTTTTTCCACTGATCTTGTTCATAGGGTTTCCCCCTGAAAAGTTGCTGAAATTTTTGTTTCTTCCTATGCAGATTAAATGGTCCTAGGCATTTTAATGAGCCATAGCATTTAAAGACCTGTTAAAGTGGCCTGCCATCCAAATCCATATTTTGTAGACATGCTTCTAAATATTTTTTCCCCTCCTCCACTGCATTCCATGACCCTTTTCCTCTTCCTTCTTTTAGCCTGTCCTATTTGCCCACTAACTTCCCATGCTTTCCTCATGGTTTTCTAATCAACCTCCTCTGTTCTTGCCCCTCACAACTCATAGGAGAGATGCTGCTGCTTTCTGAAGATATGTATGATGGCTCTTCCGGCCAACAGTAATGCCAATCTTTGTAAACTCATTTTCACATATTATGCACTAAGCTGTGCTGGCCAATGGACACACTGATATGACTGAGATGCTCTTGGCAGTGAGTGTCTGCCTCTGCTCCCCAGTTTCCAGGCATAGCTTTTTGCCCTTTGGAACAGCTCTGATCTCAGAAGACTATTCCTCTTAATCTATGTTTTTATTCACATTCTGGTCTTGCATTCTTGTCTTGCTTCATTTTGACCAACAGATTTATTTTTTAAAACCACCTCAAGTCTGCTATAAAACTCAACCAACAGAAATTACTTCAGTTTTACAGTTAAATGTTCTCTGCATGCTGGCAGCAAAAAGGACATGAAATGTACTATAGAAGGATGCTATTGAGGGTCTTGTTTTCTTTCCCCCAGAAATGCTCATGGTCCAAACTGTTTCTTAGCTGTCAATGGCTGTGTGTGTTTACATAACTATTTCTGTCCTCTTTTCAGCCATTAGTCTCCTTCTTTGCCTTTGGGTTTGTTTTAATTTTTTAATGATTCTATGAAAATGTTAGAAACAGAGGAGTTTGCTATTTTCCACGTGTCGTTCTCCTTCTTTATTTGCATTTGCCAGTGGGGCCAAAGAAAGGAATTGATTTCTTTAGAAGTTTGTTTGAAAAATCTGTGCTAAAATATGCTGTTCTGCTTTATTTTGTGGCCTTATGAAAATTATGCAGCATTTTGTTAAGCTTTAAATTTTAATGTGAGATTCTCAAGAATGTTCCATTTGCAAACCTAGGCAGATATCTAAGCACATGAACATTCAATATGATAATCAGAGAAAATTATTTTATCAAAAATGACTTTTTAGGCATTTATTTAGTTGCTGTAAAGTCAATATATTACACAGGCACACCCAGAGTGCTCTGTCAAGTCAAGCCTTAACTGTTACTTCTCCACACTTTTTCTAAGCCAGTATTTACCAACCTTTACAAGTCTGCATTTAATTCCAAGCCAGCAGATATTTGGCCTTCTTCAAATGCTCAGTAATTTCTGTCCTTGTTCAGGGGCTCAGATACAGCAATTTGAAAGCTGATGTTATGCATCTTTTTTAAACTGGTGCAGAGACTGAGCTGTGTCCCTCCAGAAACTTGCAACAAGATCAGCTGGAGATGGATTCATCAGGAAGATCAAACCAAAAGGGAAGATATGAACCCTCACAGTGAAAGCAGATTCTGCTTTCTGCTTTTTAGGCCAAGGCCACACATGCAATGTTGGCTTGAGTTTTCCTATTAATGGGAATGGGCATATCATGTATGTGTCTCAGGTACTGGTTTTACATCAGGGAAGAAGACAAATATTTTGCCCCTGCGACTAGTGTTTTCACTTTACCTGTTCCCCCTCTCATGTTTTGTTTAATGGATGGAAGATTCTGTGCCCAGGATCTTCCATCCATTAAACAAAAGGAAGGCACTGCTGGCTTGCTTGCTCAGGGATTCCTTCCTTGCTCATGGAAACTCTCTGGCCACATCTGAACAGGACCAAAATGAAATGCCAGAGCACTGGTTGTGCGTAGTCCATGAAGTGGATTAGTGTCAACCAGGCTTCACCGAAACAATAGGTGCCAAGCTGTGGCTGAAGAGCTATCATAGGAGAAACTCAAGCCCTAATGTACAGATTCCTATTGGTCTGGTTTTAGGAATAACTATCTAAAACTCTTGTATGGTTGTGAGATATGCCAGGCTAGTTAGCCACAGCATAGCAGAAAATGAGCCCTGGAATTTTATTCATTGGTAGAGACCTGGCCTTGACCCCACAATGAGTTTGGTGGCAGGAGGGGAAGTGGAGAAGGAGAGGAGCAGGGGAGTGTCCTCTATGAGTGGTCCCTTTTTAAGAGCCAGCTTTAAAAATGAGACTCATAATTGAGTGCTTTCTGGTCTGGATTTCTTCTGTATTTTACATTATACCACCATTAAAGAAAAAGTTAGTAGGGAGGAAATAAGGATTCAGGTCTCCTTGTGTCTACCTGATTACACAAAGTGGTAGTTTTGACCAAGTTTTTAAATGTTTGTTCTATTTCTGATTTCATGATTCAGGAACAGTTCAAACAGAAAGGTTTCAGAATGCTCTTCTTCAGATAATTAGAGAGTGAAGGTTATGGCACTTTTTAAAAAGGAGGAGTAATATGGAGCTTTTCATATAATGCTCATCAACAGCAAACAGTCTGAGGTAGGATGAGGGATTTATGGTGAAACTGAATTAGTGCACAAGATCTTCACACATAAACAATTACTTGACAACAATGACAGTCACGTTTTAGGAATTCAGGGACATGGACTTGGTTAACCGTTAATATTTAATGCTTTTTATATCAATATGTGTAGCCTTTAAGAGTAATGACCATAAGAAAATGTTAATATTAGGAATAAATTTTACATTATGGCTGAGACTGGTTTGTGAGTTTTATTGCATTACAC